CCTGAACAACATAGCTTTCAACAATTTTTTACCTAGAAATAATATAGAGGGCAATGCAACGTTTGCCGGGCCAGCTAGTATTATTATAAATATTATTTATTCTCTATCAAAGTCGCGCATTAGGCCTGTATGCATAGTTTTTCTGGCAAGTGTATGTAACTAATAAACTGTTTCATGCTGAAAGTAACTTATTGAAGCCTAAATTGTAAACTGTTATTTGTATTTTATCTGAATGCATAAGTATTATTTTCAGTTTTATTGTGACACATTTTCGATTTGAGCTATGTTCTTCCATCTGAAAGTAAAGTAATTCTAATAGCACTAACAACTAGTGCTAATAGTCAGCACTTTAAAAATGGTTAATCAAATTAATACTTTGCTGCGGCAATGATATACCTAAATGAATAGTATGTGATATGGAATCATTTTATTAATAATAATACTATTTAAATTGAATAATTAGTCACACTTTAAAATTTTGTAATTCCGGATTATCAACTATTATTCATATTTTCTCTGCTTTATTTTGTTTTAAATAAAATAAAAAAGTCTTCTAATAAAATACTTTTTTTAGGGATTGCCTATGCTCGAGGAAATGAATTTTTGCGCAGTTCTCAGCAAGATGATATATCGGGTCACCGCTTATATGGAGGCATCGTAATTTGGCAAGAAGGAGATGCCGTAGAAATATTAAAAAATCGACTTCATACAAAGCACTATGGTGATGATTTTCATAATTATACAATGATCTGGCAAAGAGACAAGCTAACACTTTTGGTCGACGATGAGATTTACGGAGAGATTTACGATGGCTTGCCATTTTTTAATGAGAAATGTTTCATAATTTTTGGAGTTACAGTTGGTGGATTTCTCAATTTCGATGACAGCATACTATTGGACGATGTAAAGCCGTACAAAAATAAACAACCGCGGGCTGCTGTTTCGTTTTGGGAAAATCGCGATACTTGGGTATCTACATGGACAAATAACAGTGCGATGATTGTAGATTTTGTGCGTGTTTATGCAGATTAGACTTTAGCTACAATTGACCGTCTTTTGCCACTGAGTCTGACTACTTAAAAGGAGATAGTTTCCGACGTATGATAGTAAGCAGCGCACAGTGTTTTTTTTTTTTTTTTTTTTTT